ACACTTGTGAAAGTAAAATCTGTTGGGCTCTTTTTGGCATCAAGACAATTATTCCTATTGCCACATTGCCAGACAGGACACTGTTAAAAAAAAAAAAAAAAAAGTTCAGACTGAGGAAACCGCAGCACTGATCTTTTACTGTTTGGACCCTCGGCTGCTGAGACAAACCTGATCCATCTACTGTCCGTCTCCTCTAAAGGTTTAGGTCCAAAATGGCTCATGTTGTTCATCAAGCACATCCCAGATACTTGGCTGGTTTGAATTTCCAAGTCTACCATCCAGATGGATGTACTAGTACTCCAAGTTTCTGGGCAGAACAGTTTCCAAGGTACAGCACTGTCCAAACTGGCTGACCTGTGCTATAAAAGGGATTTCTATCACATTTGTATCAGCAGGGATTTTTTCAGAGGAAACATCAGACCATAAAAACAGGTCAGGGATCCTGCTGCAGCTAACAACACTGAGAACAATCTGTAGGACAGTTTAGGATAACAGGACTTAAAGAGCATCACAAAAGCACCTTAAATTGTTTCTTATTTTCTCACATGCAGCAACAAATATCAAAGTGTTTCAATGTTGACTACACCAAGGCAAGGTACATATACATTGCAGTGGCAGACGGGAAAAAATAACAAATAATTAAAGATAATTAAAATGAATAGTTCAATGAAAGTTGTAATGAAATCTTGGCTAATAATGGTTAGACAGCTCAGGGTCCTGACACACCTTGCCGATTTAGATAATGTATGCCTGATGTCCCAGAATCTGGTGTTAAACAGCAGCTAGGTTAATAATGCGATCAAACACTTCTTTTTATGCAGACCTGCTCCTGATGCTTCAGAGGGGAGCAGCTTTAACTGATGCTCCGTAATGCCCATGAAATGGTGTACAAGCATCATTTCATGGGCATTACGCTGCCGTGCGTTATATATAAGTTAGGCTGTAGTTGGACATAAGTTCTGGACTTGTCATGAATACGCTATGTATATCCACAAAATTAAAAATAGAAAAAAACATGAAAAGTTCAGCGCACGCCAGCATTTTAGGAGATTCTGGGATGTCAGGCATATGCTGGCTTTATGGGCCTCTGAAGGTTAAGGTCTGAGTCCATTACTGCTACTACCAGAGTCTGATTGGTGGTTTCTAGCTGGATTAATCCAGATGTGCGCTAACGTTTGAATGCTTCTTTTGGTCCAAAAAAATCTCTTTTTTTTGGCCATGAACTGATTTCTTCTACTAACTTTAGAAATATAAATAGAACTTTATTGATCTCAGAATGGAGAAATTCACTCTGTATTTGACCCATCCCCTGGGGAACAGTGGGCTGCCACTCTGCAGCACCCGGGGAGCTGTGTGGGGGTAAGGGTCTTGCTCATAGAACCAGAGTGGAGGCTATGGGGATTGAATGAGGTACTCCAAACCTTCTCAGATCACAAGTGCACTGCTCTAACCACTGGGCCAACACTCCCTCATTTTTTCTGTGTTTGAGTAAGTTCATTGTAACCTGACATTCTAATCTACAGCCATGTATCACCTGCATAGTTATGGTAATTTATTTGTTTGTTGCAGTTAAACCTCTTTTTCTGTTACCATAGTAACATTCTTTCCAGAGCTAACGTGCTCAGGAGCAGGTTTTATTCAGTAAACTCAGAGTATCCTTTGTGTTTATTTCCTGATTTAATCAGTAGAGTTTTGTGGAAAAAAATAAAAAGGAAATCATTCACTAAGTCCATTAGACACATTTAGGGTTAAAAACTCAAGAACGTCGTTTAGACGAAGCTCCAATTAAAAAATGAGCGGGATTAATTCACAAAGAATTTAATATTCATTAGGAAAGGGTTCTCAGACCGCGTACAGATGTCCTTTATATTCAGAAAATTATCTTTATGAGCTTACTGATTCATCCAACAATCCTTCACATCCATTCTGTCCTCTCATCTGCAGCATTACACAGACTTCTACAACAATCCTTGATATCAGTGAGATAACATTGATGTGTAATAACAGCATTATAAAAAAATTGCACAGTCAGACAGCCGCTTAGTATTTACTGTGTGATGGAAGACAGAAATAAAATGAAGAGGAACCCCATGAGATGATGCACAGGTCCTACCTGTTAGAACAATGTTTTTTATAGTCCATCTTCATGTGCAGACAGGTGATTTCACCTAATAGATTGATCCACTAACATTCAAGCAATAAACTAGTTTTCACAGCAGACTGTTTGATATTTATTAATTTGACTGTATATGTATTTCTGGTATCTGAAATCAATTTTTTCTTGTCAAAATGAACATTTATATCTAGAACAAACATTCTGGATGTCTAAAAATGAATTTCAGATCCATGTCTCTATTGTTACTGGTCATCATTTGTATTATTTTAAGTAGGAATTGTATTTCGAATATTATTTACTTATCGAATATTATATTTACTTATTCAGTAAA